ATGTCATCAAGAGGGACTAGCCCCTGGAGAAGAATATTGTCATGAATTGTATCCCCCCAAAATATGTGTCAACTTGGCTAGGCCACGATTGTCAGTATTATATAATTATCCTCCATTTTATGATCTGATGTAATTATGCTATATGCTGTAAATCCTAACATCCATGATGTTAATGAGGCAGGATCTATAGGATTAGGTTGTATATTGAGTCAACCTCTTTTGAGATATAAAAAAGATTAAAATGCAAGCTAGCAAGGAGAGATGGGGGGAGACGCCAAGCAGATGAAGATTGCCCAGGAGCAGAAGCTCAGAAGAGACAAGGATCTTCCTCCAGAGCTGACAGAGAGAGAAAGCCTTCCCCAAGAGCTGGCGCCCTAAACTTGGACTTCTAGCCTCTTAAATTGTGAGAAAATAAATTTGTTTGTTAAAGCCACCCATTTATGGTATTTCTATTATAGCAGCAGTAGATAACTACGACAGACATCATGCTTGGTAAAGTACAAGGTCAGTGAAAAAAAGGAAGACCCTCAACAGATTGACACAGTGGCTGCAACAATGGGCTCAAACACACCTACTATTGTGAGGATGGCACAGGGCCAGAAAACATCTCGTTCTGTTATAGAATCATGCATCGCTTAACGTCCACGATACATTCTGTGAAATAGGACATTACGTCATTTGGATATTGTGCGAACACCACATTATTTTCTTATGGCAAATCTGAGATAGCGGAAGTGTTCCTTACCAAGGGACAGGGAGGGCCTGGAGTTCTGCTCGCTGAGCAAGGGCACAGGCTGAGCTGGAGGAGCGTGGGGACTGGGCCTTTAGGTGAGGCCCTGGGGCACTCAGGAAGGTATTAGCCCAGGCAGCCCTGCAGGCCCAGTTTGCTGAGGACAGGGATGAGGATGGGCACAGGGAAAGCCCAGGGTATGTTCCCCAAACAAGAGCTGGTCCAAAGCACAAAGGTGGCAGCTCCCTGCTGGCTATGACCACTTATGTCCACCACGTCCCGTTCTCCAATCAAGATTTCTGAACTTATGTGACCATGGATGTATACGTAGTCCAATGTCGTCCAAAAGGACAGATGTTATGCAGCGCATGGCTGTACATAAGGTCGCTCTGAGTCGGAACTGACTCAACAGCACCTAACAACAACAAGAAGAACAGCTTATAGGCACAGCACTCCAGAGGGGATATATAATTTTTACTCCATTCAACAAGTGGAAGGCAACCTGTTGGGTAAGATTAGTCATTCCTGAGCGAAAAGAAGGACTCTATAAATTCCAAGATTCTGGGTTACTGAAAATAAGAGGTTGGGCAAACTGGACCACTACACACAAGGGGGAGATGTGTAAAGAGATTTTACTTCCCACACCACCAACAGGAACATAAGGAGCCCTGATGGCGCAGTGGTTAAGCGCTTGGCTGCTAACCCAAAGGTCAGTGGTTAGAATCACTCCATGGAAGAAAGACCTGGTGATCTGCTCTGTAAATATTACAGCATAGGAAACCCTATTAGGCAGTTCCACTCTGTCCTATAGCTTCACTATGAGTTGGAATCGACGACAAGTTTAACAGGATCATGGTAGGGAACCACTTTTGATCTAAACGTCTTCACTGTATGGCCATTGCCCACTGCAGCCCCACCAGTAACAGAAATTCCATCAGGCTTAACGCACCAACAAGGCTATCGAGAGGAATGGTGCCGCCACTCATCCTTCCTTCTGCTGGGAGAGGCGAGAGTCAAGGGCTGGTAACTTGTTCTCCGGCTGGTATCAGATACATGGCAAGACATTTCCATGGAAAATTTGTATATGAGCCTGGCATGAGTGTATAAGGCTTCCTGCCCACAGGGTTCTGCAAAAGCCTGCACTCTGCACACTCAGGCAAGGTTTCTTGGCTTCAAACTTTCTGGTCTTGTATTTCCCTAAATTTCACTGAACAACCAGCAATGGATTCATTCTCTTTTTTTTAGGAATCACAGATTAAAATTACCCAAATATCTAAGTTTACTTAAAAAAGAAGAAAAGAAAGAAGAGTGGCTCTTGTTTCTGGTCCTCTGTTTTAACAAGATTATCTTGTCTAAAGCATTTCCATTTAAAAAGACCCTCTCAGTTGGTGAACGTGTGGTGTTTTCACCAGGTCCAGCCAGCACCAAGAACTGTCTCGAGCTCAGGTTCGCAGCAGGCGGCCGAGACACAAACAGGCAAGCAGCTGAAGGCCAGCAGCTTTTAGCAGCAACCAGACAACTTGGAGGAGGGTGGCTCACTACCAGCAGAAACCTGAACTGGCCTTCAGGGATTCTATTTCCCCGCCTCAACAAAATCGGATGCATCGACTTACTCTTTGAATCATTTGGGGGAAAAAAGATTTCAGTGCAAGTAATGAAACTTAATAAGCCATGAAATCCAAAAAAAAAAAAAAAAACGGCATCCAATAAGACTGTACTATTTTTAATACTCACTGGTTTCTCCAGTCAGGAGAGAGTTGCCTGGCCTGGCCCCAGCCCTAAGTATGTTATGATATTTTCCTCTCCCCAGCAAGCAACAATGTCCAAGTGGGAACTGTACCACGTGGAAATGATAAGACTCTCTCTGTGCTGTTGTCCAGCAATAACACCACCACAGTTTAAAAACACACACCCTCAAGACCCACTTATTACTAGGTCAATAGATTTTTGACCACGGTGCCAGAGTAATCCAATAGGGAAGGCCAAATGGAGTCCCTGGGTGGCACAAACAGTTAAGTGCTCAACTACTAACCAGAAGGTTGGCGGTTCAAATCCACCGGAAGACAGGCCTGGCGATCTGCTCTGAAACATCACAGCCTTGAAAACTCTTTGGAGCAGTTCTACTCTGTACACAGGGGTCACCGTGAGTGGGAACTGACTTGATGGCAACTGGTTTGTTTCTTTGGTTTTCCCCATATGGTGCTGGAATAACGGGTTATCCGTATGGAATAAAGGATCCTCAATCCCTATCTCACACATGCACAAAAACATTAATTCAAGATGGTTCGCAGACTTAAACATAGAAGTTAAAAATACAAAGCTTCTAGAATATAACATGGAAGAATAACTTTACAACTGGGGGTATTTCTTAGACAGGACATAGAAAGCAACAATATAGGGGAAAAAATCCAATAAAATAAACTTTATCAAAATTATAAACTTCTCCCCAGTAAAAGGTACTGTTAAGAAAATGAACAAGCAAGACACAGACTGGGAGAAAACATTTTTGAAGCGCCTATCTGACAAAGGACTGATGATGCAGAATATGTAAAGAACTTCTATAACTTTTTCTGTTGTTGTTCTGTTGTACATAGGGTTGCTATGAGTTGGAACTGACTGGACGGCACCTAACACCACCAACTACGATTTAGTAACAGGAAGACAAACAACTCAATAAAATATGGGCAAGAGAATTGAACAGGTACTTCATGAAGGAAGATATACACATGGTCAATAAGCACGTCAACATTATTCCTCAGGAAAATGCAAATTAAAACTGTAATGAGATACACTATGCACCCATCAGGGTGGCTAAATTAAGACCTGACAATACCCAATCTGAAAAGGAAGGGAGTTAATGGAACTCTCATACATCGTTGGTGAGAATATAAGTGATATGACTCTTTGGAAAAAGATCTGGCAGTTTCTTATAAAAATACACTTATGACCTCGGGAGAAAGATGTGACAGTCTGCTTCCATGAAGATTTACAGCCTTGGAAGCTCTATGAGGCAGTTCTACTCTGTCCTATGGGATTGCTATGAATTGGAATTGACTCCACAGCAGTGGGTATCCTATGACCCAGCAATTCCACTCCTTGGTATTTACCCGAAAGAATGAAAGCATATGTTCTCACAAAGACATGTACAAGAACATTCACAGCAGCTTTATTAATAATAGCCTCAAAGTGGAAACAGCCCAAGTGTCCACCAACTCGAAAATGGATAAACAAACTGCAGTGTAGGCATACTCGGGGTTAAAAAGACAGCAACTGCTGATATAGCCAACAACGCAGACAGACCTCACTCAGAGCTGTAGCTGGGATGCAAGCACAGTTCCATGAGGATCTGGAGCACAGGCCCTTTCCAGAACTCACTGCTCTCCTACGCCTCTTTCTGGACCGTAGTGACAAGGGCACAGGTGGTGTGTGTAAAGCTTTTCAGGCAGGGAGCACTGAGTACATAGCTGAGTGGCCTTCAGGATGCAATGAAAAAGTTCCTCATATTCAGGTGTGAGGCCTCTCTCTCTCTCCCAGTCAAGAGCTACACAGCACAAAAGGTTTGTTACACGGCCACGGGCTCTGCGCTTACATGCAAAGGGTACACCTCAGGCCATGTGTACTTTTCAGTATGCATGCCCATCACAGCCGGACTGTCTTCCCTCTTCTTCATTAAGCTAAAAAGAAGTGTCTGTTTCTACCTGTACGTTTTAAAGACTCAGCAGAGTCCAGCAGGCCCTCTTTAGGCATCCTCCTTGTTTATATCTTCCTTTATTGTCTTCATCCTACCTTACCATGTTCCCACTGAGCTGTGAGGAATAACATACTTAGAAGGGGTGGGAGCTCCTTCCAGCCAAGTGTGGCTTTCTAACTTTGTGGCTACAAAACTCCTGGGGAAGGGAGAAGGCTGGGAATAGGAGGTGAAGTGTTAAAAGATTCTTGATTGGGCAAAGTGTCTTACAAACCTGCACACACAACATCACGGAATTCTGATCGAGTTAAGAGCTCGGATTCCAGATGCCGTCCACCAATCTAAAAGATGCATCTCCTCCTACACAGCCATTTATCAATGGGGCTTAAGTATGGCACTGGGGTATCTGGCTCCTGAAGGCAGGAAGAGGGGTTAGAGATTAAAAACAAACCATGAACACCACGCTTAGTGACTTCTCAGATCTTTTTAGGGGGGATCTTTAAAGAGAAATATATCCATGTAAAGATTGATCATTCACTTCATAAAAAAAAGAAAGAAAAAAGCTACAGTCCTATGAAAACGTCTTTAATTTTCATCTTTTGGAAATACATTTTTTCATTTTTATTTCCATGATACAAAAATGTTAAGTATCTAACAATGATCTGTCTGAAGCAGATCTACTGAAGTAGATCCATGACATCTTGCCGCTGTTGTCACCTGCTGCTGGAGAGAAGGGCTGCTACCTGCTGCAGATCTGTCATGATCGCATAACACATGTGTACATGCACCAACACATGATACTTTACCCCCAGACTGCCACCCACCCAAACCAACCAGGAAAGAAAAAGACAAGTAGGCTAAGACGCTGGGAAAGTGAACACAGCACCATATGTAAAAACATAAACGAGCTCCTTCACTCTTACACCCTCCATGAGAAACGAGTATCTTAGGAAAAATAACTCTAAATAAATATGCCCCAAAGACGAAGGCATATGTGAGGGTCCTTTATGGGTTGACATTGGTAGACATTTTCCTACTGGAAAAACAGGCTTGAGAGCTTACTGTGTTCAGGCGGCTACAGTGAGAAGCAGGGAGACAGGAGAGATTTCTCAACCAGGAGACTGTCAGCACGCACTGCCAAGTGCCCAGCAATCGGAGCATGAAACTATGGAGGAGAACCTCCCCAGGCAGGAAAGAGCTCAATCGAGATTCGAGATCACAGCACCGGGGAGTGTCAGCTCTCTTTGCACAGTTCACAGCCAACGTTCCACATCAGGGGGCTTCTTAGACGCGCTAATTCACGGCAGCAAAGGTTTCACACGAGCAACAAATGATCGACTGGTTAATAATGTCCCCATTCATGACAGCCTACAACTGTCACAGGTGTTCACCAGACAGTTTAAATTAAAAAGGAAAAAGAGAAAAAAGAGAGAGAAGAAAAAAGAAAGAAAGAAACACAACCACAAAAACAAAAGCTGGTTTTTCAGTCAGGACACGTTCTTTGTTTCCAACCCCTTCTACCCCACGTTTTATTAAATTAAATACAGTATGGCTTCCAAACAGTGTTGGCTGGGTCTTTCTCGGGGACAGCACCAGCGATTTGTCTCACTCGGGTCTTGGTTACCACGTATCAGGGACTTCAAAGAGCTTGGCGGAGCTGCCCGAGATGCTTCCTGGTGGGAGAGGAGAAAACAGCATGAACAACGGGAGATCAACACCTGGAGAACACGGAGCAGCTCAGCCCAGGGCAGAGTGCCCTCAGCTGGCTGCAGAAACAGGCCTCCTACTGGGGCAGGGAGGGGCCCATGGGCACTGCCGCAACTAGAAAGATCCACAAGCAGGTCTTGTTGATGGAGAGCAGTGCCCAGCGGGCAGAGGCAAAACCACAGAAACACCACAGGGAGGAATGACCAAGTCCCCCCTCCCCAGAGCTTTGGATGCCCCTAATTATTCTACTCATTGCCATTGAGTCAATTCGAACTCCTAGTGCCCCTATAGGACAGAAAAGAACTGCCCCCATACGGTTTCCAAAGCTGTAAATCTTTACTAAAGCAGACTGCCACACCTTTCTCCCGTGGAGCTGCTGGTGTGTTTGAACAGCTAACCTTTCGGTTAGCAGTCAAGTGCTTTAACCACTGCGCCACTTAAAATGTGTATGGTACCAGAATCTCTCATTCAGCACTCACTGTATTTTTTGTTAGCCAGTGATGGGAACTTAATTTATTTAATCCTCATTAACAGCTCAACAAGATGCAAGAACAGATTCAGACAGTCTAGTAACGTCACCAATAATCACACAGCTAGGAAGTAGCTGGAGTTCTGGGGTGGTGCAAACAGTTAACACGCTCAGCTGCTAAATGAAAGACTGGAGGTTCCAGTCCACCCAGAGACGTCTTGAAAGAGGGGTCTGGCGATCTACTTCGAAAAATTCAGTCGTTGAAAACCCTATGGAGCACAGTTCTACCAACACACATGTGGTTGCCATAAGTCAGAGTAGACTCGACTGCAATGGTTAGGTTTAGTCAGTGGCTGAGATGGGGTTTCAATCTCTCCACAGCAGCAGGATCCCCGACCCCTGAAGACTGGATTTCTCTGGACTGTCGTGTCCCTGGGGCTGGGACGAGAAATCTCAGGGCTGGTGCCTGCAGAGTGGAGGGAAGTTGACCAGTGTGCACTCTGAGATCCCAAAAGGGGCAAAAGAAGCTTATGGCTTTTTCCAATTTCAGCAAGGTTGGCTCAGATCATCTTCTTGGACAAAATGAGTCTCTTCAGTTAAAAACAGTTTCACCCCAAAGTTAGAAGCCCTTCTTCATTCAAGCCACTCTCTGCAGCAGCAGCAGCAGCAGCATGCAGCTGGAACGGGCCTGGACCACCGATGCACAGACCCAAGAGAGTGTGAGGAGTCAGGAAGGACACCGTCCATAAGGGAAAGTGCGGCAGGCTGGGTGTTTGATGCCCAAGCATGTCCTGCATCATTTAAGCCATAAAGCTGGGCTGGCAGGGAAAACCGGCAAAGCCTCTCCCCCAGCCGCTAACATGCCAAGATTTCAAAAAGCAGAAGGAGTCTTTGATGATATCTAAAATGGAGAGAAACTTCTAAAAACAGAGGGGACGCAGGGCCCCACAAACGAGGAAATCACTCAGCTGAGAGTGGCTGTTGTCAGTAACAGGGATGCCCAAAGATAACTGGATGTAAACATGTGGAATATCAGAAAGAGAACGCAGCTAAACTGAGAATTCCCACTTCTGGTCATTTATGGGGCTGCTGTTGAGTCAGCACTGACTCGAAGGCAACTGGTCATTTATCGTGACAAAGCCCAGAGAGTTAGGGTGAGAAGACCAGGAGAGGGATAGTGTGAAGGTTTCTGCCCTGGGTCTTGCCCACCACTGTGAACACACATATCTTGGGCCTCCCAATAAAGACCCCAGTGAAGATGGCCAGGAGGTGATCCATGTGGAAAAGATTCACATGATCTAGTTGGAAACGGAATAATGAAGATCGACAACAAAACAAAACCAGAACAACAATACTGCAAATGGCCCCTGATAACATATAACTAGCCCATCCTTGATCATACATTCATTTACACAATACCAAATTGTAGGGAGGAAAATAAGCATCAACAAGGACACTTCTACAGTTCACATATCGAAGAAATATTACAGTAGCCTATCAGTCATTCTAAAGGTAAAAACTACACCACCAACTACGGAGAACTGAGATAAAACCAGCTGAGAGGGAAAAAAGATACACTGTTAAAAGCAACTGCATTTTACTACTTGTAATTTGTACCTACCATTAATGGAGGGTGGAATCCCTGGGTGATGCAAATGGTTAAGCGCCTGACTACTAGCCACAAGGTGAGCAGTTCAAACCCAACCAGAGGCACCTCGAAAGACAGGCCTGGCGATCTGCTTCCGAAAGGTCACAGCCCTGAAAACCCCATGAAGCAGTTCTACTCTGCACACATGGGGTCACCATGAGTTGGAGCTGACTCGATGGCAACTAATAACCGCCACAACATTAGTGGGGGGTGGGGGAGAGAGGAGGGGACATGAGGATGGCACACCATCATTTACAGAGCAAGGGACTCCATGAAGAGCTAGTGAGAAATACTGGAACAAGCAAAAGCTCTGGAGTGAGGCAAGCCTGGCTTGACTATTTTGCTACCTGGATGGCTCTGAACAAGTCTCATTTCCTCATCTGTAAAACAGACCAAATACTAGTTCGTACCTCATAGGACTTCTGTGATACAGCAAAGCTGCTGGCACAGAGTAAGTTCTCTATGAAGGTCAGGTCCTCCCCTTATCAATAAGGTGGCTCGACTGTGAACACGGCTGATTCCCAGGAAAGCCAGCAGCCTGCAGACAAGGAGAGGCTGGTTTTCACTGTCCAACATACGCAGCTGCCGAGCAAGAAATGTGCACGAGGGAGCCAGAAGTGTAGGAGACATCAAAAGGAGACCCAGGCAGAGGGCAGCGGAGGTCTTTGCCCATGTTCCTTCCAGAAAAGGAAATGCTATAGACTGAGGAAGGACCAGCCTCAAAGCTAGTGGAGAAGGAGCTATGGTTGGCTTTCCACAGCCCTGTTTCATTAGAGTGCAAACAATTATTCAGGAGTCATTTTTCTTTTTAAACAAATACTTAAGAATGTCTGCCGCCAGCTGTGATGAACCTCAAATACATACCTTGCATCATATACAAAAATTAAGTAAAAATGGATTATAGATCTAAATGTAAAAACTAAAACTATAAAACTTCTAGAGAAAATCTTTGTGATCTTGAGTCAGGCAAAGATTCCTTAGATATGACATCAAAAGCATGATCCATAAAAGAGAAAAAAAGGATAAATTGGACTTCATCAAAACTGAACACTTCTATGCTTCAAAGATACTGTTAAGAGAATGAAAAGTCAGTCCAGAAGAAAATATCTGCAAAATACTCGTAAAGGATGTATCCAGAATATATAAAGAACTGTCAAGACCCAATAAGAAGAAAACAAACAATGAAAAAATGGGCAAAAGATCTGAACAGAAACTTCACCAAAGAAGAGATCTGGGTGTCAAATAAGCACATGAAAAGATGTTCAACATTAAAGCCACAATAATCCGCCACCACACACCCACTAGAATGCCTACAAAACAAAAACACGGACAATACCAAGTACTGGTGAGTGTACAGGGCAGCCAGAACCCTCATACGCTGCTGGTGAGAATGCAAGATGGTGCAGCCACTTTGGAAAACAGTGTGGCAGTTTCTTATAAAGTTAAAATATACTTAGCTCACCAAAAACCTGTACACAGATGTTTATAGCAGCTTGATTCATCACTGCCAAAACAACCTAAACGTCCTTCAGACAGTGAATGGATTAACAAAGTGATACACCCATACAAGGGACTACTACTCAGCACTAAAAAGGAACAGATTACTGATACACGCAACAACATGGATAAATCTCAACAATGATTATGCTAACTGACAGAAACCAGACTCAAAGGCTACACACTGTATTACTCAACTTATATGACATTCTGGAAGAGGCACAATCATAGTGATCTGGGAGTGGGTAGATTGACTACAAGGGACATAAGAGAATTCTATACGGTGAAAAAACTGTTCTGAATCCTGATTATGAGGAGCTCTGGTGGAACAGTGGTTAAGTGCTCGACTGCTAACCTAAAGGCTGGTAGTTCGAACCCATCAGCCAGCTGCTCCACGGGAGAAAGATGTGCGGTCTGTTTCCGTAAAGATGACAGCCTTGGAAACCCTATAGGGCAGTTCTACTCTATCCTATAGGGTCGCTATGAGTTGGAATTAACTAAACGGTAATAAGTTTGGGTTTTTGGATCTTGATTATGGTGATGGTTACATGACTGTATACATTTGTCATAACCCATCAAATTGTACATCTAAAAGTAATGACTTTTATTGTATGGAAATCAGATATCAATTAAGCTGACCCTGAAAGAGATACTAAGAATGTTATTGTTAAAAAAAAATTCAATAAAATTTTAATACTATGAATTATTATGCTGACATTAAAAGTATCTGACAAAGAATTTCTGAAATAAGAAAAAAAAAATACAAAACTGCATATACAATATGATGCTAGCTGTAAAAAAAAGTTACCAAAACCCGTTGCCACTGAGTCAATTTCGACTCGCGCTGGCACTATAGGACAGAGTAGAACTGCCCCCTATAGAGTTTCCAAGGAGCAGTTGGTGGATTCGAACTGCCGACCTTTTGGTTAGCAGCCAAGCGAAAAACACTTGTTAACAAGGGTATCAAGTGTTAGGATTATGAGAATTTTCTTTTTACAAATTTTCACAGTGAGTACATTACTTTTATTAACAACAAAAGAAATTTAAAAAATCACCCTTTGACATAAACACACAAAATGATTGTTTTTCCTTGTTTACTCTTTCAACTAACTAGAGTAGAAAGGGAGAAACCTGAAGAGAGACAGATGTCTCTTCCCCCAGGGGATTCCAAACAGAATTAAAAAACTATACAGCACACCAGAAATTCGCCGTCCTGTCATTTTCTACCGAGTGGGATTCAGTATAAAGTGAGATCCTTTAGGGTGCTATACAAAATTTTTTAACTAGAAAAGCTCAAAAGGGCATGGTAACGGGACAGGTTCCCCATAGTGAGAACGCAGATCTCAAATCTTCAAACCATGAATCGAAAATATCCCGAAGTCATCTTTAAACTAAATCACTGTTTAGCAAAATTAATACAGAATGTTTGATGTGAGTACTGTCCCCTTTTACAGAATTATCTATATGAGGGCAAACTGTCAACAATAAGTCTAAAGCACAGATGAGAAGTTTAGGGGGTAGAGAGCCTAAGTCAGCGGTGGTGAAACAATGTGGGTAGACAGTGAGAAGGGTGGCACAACGTGAAGAACACAGCCAATGTTACCGAATTGTACACGTATAAACTGATGAATGGGTGTATGTTCTGCTGTGTATATTCTCTCCGAAAAAAAAAAAGGCCAATCTCCCCCTAGATGGCTTGTGGGAGGTCCTGGAGAGTGGCCAGGAGGAACAGGAGAGGCATTTTAGCACGTGCCTTGCAAGGGCAGCACACATCTCATTTGCCCCGTTTAAGCCTTGAATACAGCCATTAAAAGGCTCCTCGGGAGACCGCTGGACTTCCTCAGCCCAGTCTCTTGGGTGGCCGACATGAGCAACTGTAGATCTTGTTTGGACTCTAATGAAACCTGTAATAGCACCAGGAGATTGTTACTTTAAGTAGATTCTAAATTTTTATATTGTGACTCCCAAGGGTTTAAGATTGAAAAATTCAGCAGATTATTCAACACTCCAATAAAACTCATGGCTCTTGGCAAACATTTAAAGGTCTAATGTGTCGTGTTTTAAACGTAAGGGGGGAAGAAAAGACTTGGAACAACATCTCTATTCACGTGACAAAAATTAACCATGAAGTCAACGGACTTTCCTTTGGCAATCCATAGTCAATACTTCTAACAAGGGTGCTGATGGACAATCCAGTCAGTGAACCATCCAATGGTATCGTGAGGATGGTCGGCCTGGTCAGCCTCAGGCCACTTGGTGTTGGCCCTGTGATTTCCTGGTAAAGGCAGAGGGTGAGGCCAAGGCTGGGGTTTCTCCAGGCCCCCAAAACACTATTCACCACACTCAGCAAGAACAAGTGTGCTACAGAGACTCATCTATTATATGTGATCTGGGAAACGGGTATTTTCTTGAGATAGTACATTCAAGCACAAATGGCTTGTGGAATTGTTTTCCTTTATGGATCAACTGAAAAGTGTACCTTGAACTCCTCAGAGAAAAAGCAGATATCATTGCAAAACAATATTAATCATAATAAATATAAAAAGAGAGGACTTAGACCATGCATTTGCCTCTTGAAAATAGGACAGAACCAACACTTGAGAGAAAACTATTTACTGAGTACATAACATGTACATAAAGTAAACAGAAGCCCCAGAAAGAAGTGTTCGCTTGGATTTTTATTACATGACTTTAAGGTTATGAAAGGCCAGGTTGGTATTTGTTTCTGCTCTAGAAAAGCTGCACAAAATGTTCACCTCCGAAAGAATGGTATGCTTCCTCTAAAGTTTGGATACATTTTGCACAAGGGCAGAGTGGTGCAATGTATGAGCTTTGGGGTCAGACAGCTCCCCACACACCAGCCATATACTTTGCCCCCTAACTCTGAGTCTCAGTTTCCTCTCTATAAAGTAGAAATAATGATACCTACACCTGACTGGTTTTTTTTTTGAAAACAAGCTCTGGCCAGTTTTGTTAAAGGAAAAAACAATTAAACATGATTTATTTTTCACCAGTCTGTTCTGGCATGCTTCTAATGATATCGGAATCACCTGCATCAATGATAGCCAGCATGCATACTCTGTAGTATCTTCTGCACACTGTGCCCAATTCAATGTTATTGCCATTGTAGTGATGTTTTGGCCGACACGGCGTAGTACTCTTTATTTCGGATTTCCACAAGGCTAGGCAGTTGTTGACAAACATGCCCAGTTTGTCTTTGCCTTGTCTGATCATCTTCAGAGACTGCTTGTACCCCAGCACGTAATTTCCACTTTTCATAACGATTTGGAGCCTAGAGTTGATAGACTCCAACGACTTTTCCGTGTTCTTTGTGGCCATAATCTTCCTGCTTTAAGCGTGGGACAGCTCCCAACCAAGAGCAGCTGCCAAGATGGCCCGGGAGGGAGAAAGGCCTGACTGGGTTTTTATAAAGATTAGACAAGACCAAAAAAATCACCCATTGAAAACCCTATGGAGCACAGTTCTGCTCTGACACACGTGGGGTTGCCTGAGTTTGAATAGATGACAACTGGAAAAGACAAGATAATAAAAGAAGTTCCTAGTGCAACATCTGGCATTTAATATGAACTCAGTAAACAGTAATTTCCTTCGCTGTTTATTTAGGTCATTTTGTTATCTGGGAAAGGATCTAGTACTTAACTCTTAGTGTAACTTAGATATCAAATTATATAACCGAGAAAAACTACACTGTTTTATATGCGATGTAATGAGCACCAATTGTCCCAGGATTGCTATAATCCATGATATTCTGAGGGTGGATCTAGTTTTTGCTAGGTCCCTGGGTGGTACAAATGGTTTGCATTTGACTGCTACCTGAAAGTTTGGTGGTCTGATCCCACCCAGCTGCGCCATGGAAGAAAGGCCTGGTGATCTGATTCTGTAAAGATTACAGCCAACAAAACCCCATGGAGCAGTTCTACTCTGTAACACATGGGATCGCCATGAGTCGGAATCAACTTGACAGCGATTAATTTTTTTTTTGGAGTTTTTGCTACTCCCTCCCTGGAAACACAGGAAGTCCCCCAGGTGGAGCACTGTCTTTGTCTTTCAGGCCCTCACTGACCATGCCAGGCACCTAGCCTTAGTAAAGTGGACCTGTCAAGGTGCTCTTTGCACTCAGATCCGGTGCCTTAGAACCTTTTCCACAGGATGGACTTTGCCATACCGCACCAAACACTTTAACACAGTTCCAGGGAAGACTGGGCTACGTCCTCACAGCTCCCAGTACACTCTGAGTACCACCGAGAGTTTAATACAGACCCTTCACAGGGCTTGAACTTGGTACTTTCACTCATTTTAAGGCTTTATCAGAGTAACCGAGCAATCAAAATTGGTTGATTCCACGGGTTCAGCACCTGACATCTTGACCTACATCCTGCTGATACTAATAGGATTAAATGCTTAAAACAAACCAAGTTAACGGAATCTACCACCTTCCATCTTCACATTGTCAGAAGGTCTTACACTGGATGCTGACCCAGAAGAAAGCTCAATTCTCTCAAGTTCTCTGATTCAATTAAAAGTTGTCAAGCTGTTTCTTTCTCTTATTTAGCAGCACTGGCACAGAAGTACAAAATCTACCTTTTTTTTTTTTTTTTTTAGCTCAAATCTCGTAATGACAGTTTTACTGTCAATGGAAGGAGGAAAAACTATTTTGATTACAGTATTATAAACTCAAAGCCCAGAATAATTTATAGAAAGTTTTCCTTAAAACAATGAAAGCTACAAAAGGAGGTACTCCATGAATGCGCTTCTACTGTTAGGTATTTAAGCAGCCCTGGTGGCACAGTGGCAACCCTGGTGGCATAGTGATTAAGAGCTATGGCTGCTAACCAAAAAGTCAGCAGTTTGAATCCACCAGGCACCCCGTGGAAACTCAATGGGGCAGTTCTACTCTGTCCTATAGCGTTGCTGAGTTGGAATCGACTCAATGGCAATGGGTTTTTTTTTTTTTTTTGGTGGCACAGTGGTTAAGCTCTCAGCTGCTAACCGAAAAGACAGCAGTTCAAACTCACCAGCCCCTCTTCAGGAGAAAGATTATGGCAGTCGGCTTGCATAAAGATTACAGCCTTGGAAACTCTATGGGGCAGTTCTACTCTGTCCTATACGGTTGCTAGGAGTTGAAAATTGACTTGATGGCAATGGGTTTTTTTGTTTTTTATCGTTAGGTATTTAATTTTAATATATTTAAGATTACACTGATACAGAAGAAAAGAAAAAGAACTAAAAGCTAGTCCTTGAGGAGTAATAGATAAACTGTAAAACTCAAAAGAGAATGAGATACAAAGGAACACAAGAGAGGAATACCCCCACTTCTACCTTCCCCCCAAATCATGCTAAGCTTGATCTCTAAAAGTCACCCTAACATCTAGTATGTAATGTTTGTTGAGCAGGTATAATGTGGTAGTGGTAACAAAGTACCAAAGATGAAGACTAAGTACGCCACAGATTAAAAATTTCTCCAACACTTACTTCAGGGGAAGGAGAGGAGGGCAAATAAAAGCAGAGACCCAGACTCAAGCAGACAGGTAAGGTACACAGTTAAGGCTTCACACAAGAGTTTAAGTTTCTGTTAAAATTAAGCTTCACAATAATGTATCAAAGGAGCCCTCCTAGCACAATGGCTAGAGAGCTCAGCTGATAACTGAAAGGTCAGCAGTTCTAACCCACCAGCTGCTCCTCGGGAGAAAGATGTGAGTCAGAAATCAACTTGATGGCAGTGGGTTAGTTTTTATTTTTTTATAATGTATCAAAAACACATGCAACGTTTTTGCTGCTTCTTTGATTTCGTTAATATCAATGAGACTCAGAAAACTCCCTACAGTCAGAAGGGGCCCGTGCAAAAAGGGAATTAATTAAAACCTAATGAATTCTTAGCCTGGGTATGAACCAAGTACCCCTGCTTCCTATGATTTGTTCCTTAGTTCTGCTAACCGAGGCAACAGTCAAGACGAGAGATTAAGGAGAATAATAGTCTTGTCTAGGTCAGTGCCCCTCTTATTTGGAGTAGACAATACATAACCGTGACTGAAAACACCTGCTTTCTTGTTGGACAGACTCAAGGGCCCTATGACCTAAGGCAAGTCACATAACCACTGTAGGCCTTTGTTTTCTTAACTCGTAAAATGGACAATGATGACTTCTTCAAAGATTTCAATGGAAGTATTTCTTTAAACATTAAGTGCTGTGCTGGACACCTAGCAAGCCCTCAGTAAGCAGTGGCTGTAATTACTGTCATCATTACTGATGCCTGACCAAGTTATGGCCAGTTCTTCAGCAGCCTAGAACGAGCCTTTGACAGCCGTTTACTGACAGGCGCCTTCCTCGCCCTCAGGCTCCACCCTGTGCAGGGTGTGTGCACCAAGGGCTGACTTAGGTCATGGGCTCACCTTTCACTGCGTGTCTGCGTAACAAAGAGGATGTGGGATTTGGTTTCCGGTAGGCCTGAGTTCACCTTTCGGCTCTGCTTCTTACTAGCTACATGGACCTTCACGTGTTTCTTAACCTCTCTGAGCCCAGGCATCCAAATTGTTAAAATAATTCCCTTAAAACCGGAATGCTCCTTAGAAATGAGTATGATGAGACTTCATCTTGTTAACTTTGGACATGTCATCAGGAGAGACCAATCACTAGAGAAGGGCATCATGTTTGGTAAAATGGAGGGTCAGTGAAAACGAGGGACACCCTCAAAGAGATGGACTGATGTACTAGCCTCAACAATGGGCTCAAAGCATCAAAGATCACCCAGATGGTGAAGGACCAGGCAACGTTTTGTTCTGTCATATAAAAGGTCACCATGATACGTGTATTTTCACAAAAAAAAAAAAAAGAAAAAAAAAAGGTCGAGAAGGGAGAGGGTTGACATGTTGTGGGGTTGTTAACCAATGTCGTAAAGCAATATGTGTACTACTGTTTCATGAGAAACTATTTGTTCTGTAAGCCTTCACCTGAAGTACAATAAAAAAAAAATAAAAATAAAAAAAAAAAGGTTGCCATGAGTTGGAGCCGACTCAGCAGCAAGTAACATTAGTGATTCCCTACCTCAGGGCTGTTGTGAAAATCAAATGAAATAAAGAGAGAAAGGCTCCCACTCCAGTGGCTGGCAAACAGTAGGCCCTCAACACGTGTTAACTTCCTGTGTCCTTTGCTCCTTACGTAATTCTACTTATGAGGGAAATCCAGGTTGCCTGGGATTTTGCTGGGAACACAGCAAAAACTCTGCTACTGAAAATAACATGTGTAGGAGCAGCCCTCTGCAAATTTAAATTCACATTTTTAATATTAAGGCTATTTAAACACATCAGCAAAACCTCTAAACCATGGACGAGATAAAGAAGACAGAAGATAGGACGTGAACTAACCATCTTTAATAAGGCATTCCCCACCAGCCTTACTCGACCACAGCAGAGCCTCTTTGGGATTCGACGCTGAGCTTTTATATGCTCCATGTAAATAGATCCCAAAACATCTGGTCCCATGGACGACTACATGGGCTTTGCCACCACCTGATGCCTTTCTATAATTTCTCCCCCAAATAGGAGTTTCTAGAGCATTTAAAGACTATGCAACTCCAGAACTTTAGCAAGATCCAATGCTGACCTGCTGGAGAAAGCTCTTTCTTCATTCTTTTTAATTTCTTGGCCTTTTTCCTTCCCTCTGAGAGGGTTTCTGCACAGGAATCTGTCTTCTCAAGTTCAGCGTCAGAAACCTCCCCTGACGCACTGTCCTCCAAGCCAGCTTCCTCTAGACTGGGACTCAGATTTCTCTTTACTACTGTGCCGGTAGCTGTAAAACTGAAATATAAAAAGAGGAACAACATAAAGGTGTTAAGAGTAACAGGAAGACCAGCCTACAAAAATATTTTAATACTCGTAATTCTGTTAACACTTAACTAGCAATCCACAACACTGGCAGCCGTCGCCTGAGTGCGAAAGTTAAAGACCTTGTTATGAACTGAAGCTTAAAAGTTCACCCGTGACAAGTTTATTCAGAGGAAAGTTCTAAATTGTGCTTGAGTATAGACACATACAAATCTAAGCTACTCTTAGTGTTTAAAAACACATTTTGAAAGAAAAGTCCTGGTCTCTATTTTGGTAGCACTACTACAATAAATGGAGCCCTGGTGGCGCAGTGGTTAAGAGCTCAGCCTGCTAACCAAAAGGTTGACAGCCTGAATCCACCAGCTGCTCCCTGGAAACCGTATGGGGCAGTTCTACTCTTTCCTATAGGGTTGCTATGAGTCGCAATCGACTTGACAGCAACAGGTTTGGTTTTGGTTTTATCATTCACTTATTTCTCGCAGTGGTGCAGCGGTTAAGAGTTATAGCTAACCAAAAGGTGGGCAGTTCGAATGCACCAGCCACTCCTTGGAAACCCTATGAAGCAGTTCTACCCTGTCCTATAGAGTTGCTGTAAGTCGGAACCGACTCGACGGCAACAGGTACTACAAAAAAACACCTAGGAGTTTCTGGTTGGCGCAAATGGTTACACACTCAACTCCCAACCAAAAGGTTAGTGGTTTAAATGGACCCAAAGGTGTCTTGGAAGAAAGGTCTGGCAACCTGCTTCTGAAAAGGTCAGCCTTGAAAACTATAGAGCACAGATCTACTCTGACACACAGGGGGTTGCCATGAGTGGAAATCAATTCAAAAGCAATTGGTGTTTTTTTGTTTTTTTTTTTTTGATTTACTATAACAAAATGCAGCTCTGGTGGTGCAGTGGTTAACTGCTTGGCTGTTAACCAAAAGGTCGGCGGTTCAAGCCCACCAGCCGCTCTGTGGGAGAAAGATGTGGCAGTCTGTTTCCATAAAGATTACAGCCTTGGAAACCCTAGGGGGAAGTTCTACTCTGTCCTGTAGGGTTGCTATGAGTCAGAATCAAGTCGACAGCAAGGGGTTTGTTTTGTTTTTCAGTTTAAAACAAAATAATAGTTTTATTACTTTAAGTCAGAAGAAAGCATTATTACTTCATGACTGGTTAACAGCCTAGTGGATACACAGCAGAACAGACAGATTCTTGAGGCAGTCTGCTGTCACACTGCTCATGAAAGCATGTTCCACTTTCACTTAATTCTCTCCTTTTCAAAAAAGGTGACCTGCTAAATTTATATTAAACCTGGTCTCCTTTTTAAAGCTTTATACGATTTGACATGTTGAATTAACAAATCACATTACTTGTCCTGATTTTTCCTTAAGAAAATAGGTTCTCTAAAATCTGACTTGATAAAAATGGAGTCCACATGGCCAGTGTGAATCCCACTGCCTCCAAATAGGTCTCGTAAATATTCTTTGTTATCGCTCCCAGTTACGAACAACATGAAAAAAGTCAAGACACTCCATTCAAGCAGAGAAAGGGACAGACTGGTGGCGGGTGGAGAGTGAAGCACGAACATACTCCTATTAGCCTTCCCTAAGAAGTAAATGAAGAAGCCCTGGTAGCACAGGTTAGTCTGGCTGCTAACCAAAAGTTCAATCCTTGAGAAGGACACACCATCACTTACAAAGTAGTATTCTGGTCAAGACTGTATTATCTGAATGTAAACATGAAAAAACATCAAATAATCAAATAAGTCTTTCTTTTTACATAGTTGAATAGAGAGAGGTAGGTAATCTTGATTCTACCACAGCTGACTGTGGTAATGTGGGCCAGGAAAAAACCGAGGTCTCAGTTTTCTTATCTGTAAGATGAAGGAATCAAATGACATCTCTAATCATTCACAAATCCCATAATCTGTGCAATATGTTGGAGGAGTTAAAATAAATGCGGAAATCAAAGAAAAAAAAATTAAGCCTTCCATTTTTTATAATGGCCAAGTAGCTCCTACTGGAACAACTCTCCTGCAGACAACAACATCAACTTTGGACAAAATATTAAATAAACTACTTGAAAGTACTGGAGAGCAGCCAAAGCTAGGCACAAACTGGCTAGTAAAGAGTGGGGAGTGGGAGTCAATATTTGGAAGAAGGAAACCACATGGGTGGCTTGCCTGTTTTTATACAGTTGGAGTTGCATTGGTGGCTAAAGCAAGAACAGAAACTGGCAGTCTTATGGGCTTGAAGAGAACAGAGTTTGAGGTGACCACAGCGGGTGGAAAGTGAAGGGAAGAAATCCAAGAAGGAGAGAGCAAAGAGGGAGAGCCACAAATTCTGTGTACAAATTCTGCCCAGATCTTTGGTGGATTCCTGAGTCATGAATGTGCAGAGCAGACTCCAAGCAGTCCAATTAAGGTTAAAAGAATGGAACCAAGATTTCAGCTACTACCCAACACAAGGAAGATAGAGTTTAGACTTTTGAGTCAGACAAAAAAAAAAAAAACCTCATTAGAGGAACAAAACAGAATCCAGAGTCTCTACAATATATAATTCACAATGTCTGGGGTGCAATCCAAAATACTATGCAAAGGAATAAAAAGGAGCATTTAACCTATGTCTACAAGAAAAAAAGTATCAATGAAGAACTAATCCTGAGAGGATAAAGATTTTGAAATCTGCAGAAAAGGGTTTTAAGACAGTTATTATATCCTGAAAGATGTGAAGAAAAATATACTTGTAATTTATTAACGAATAGATCTCAGAAGAGAAAAAAAACCATAAAAAATTAAAAGGTAATTTTAGAACTGAAAAATATGTGAAAAAAACTGACTGAATACAAGTGCAGACTGAGATGACAGAGTCAGTAAACTTAATAAAAGAACAGTAGAAATTATTCAATATGAAGGACAGAATAAAATTTAAAAAAATAAATAAACAGAGCATCAGTGATCTGTGGGACAGTATCAAGAGGTTTAACATATGTGCAATTAGAATTTCAGGAAAGGAAAGAGAGAAGGGGGCAGAAATAATATCTGAAGAAATTATGGCCAAAATTTCTCCCAATTTGATGACAGACATAAATTTACATATTCAATAAACTCCTGAATAGGATAAATACAAAGAAAACCACACACTGGCACATCACAATCAAACTGATGAAAACCAAAGATAAAGAGAAAAGCTTGAAAGCAGCTAGAAAAAAAGACACATTACATACAGGGGAGCAATAATAGAAATAACTGATGACTTCTCACCAGAAATAATGGGGGCCAGAAGACAGTAGAACAACATTTTTAAAATACTGAGAGAAAAACAATCATGTCAACCTTGAAAATTATATTCAACAAAAATACCCTTCAAGTACATTATTCCTCCCTAGATTAAAAAAACCAAAAACAAAACTAAAAGACTGTGTGACTAAAATCAGACACTATAAGAAAAGCAAAAGGAAGTCATTCAGGTTGAAGGATAATAGAAACTCAGGACTACAAGAGAATATTATAAACAACTTTATGCTAATAAGTCTGACAACTTAGATAAAAATCAATAAATTCACTGATAAACTACCACACTGTCTCAAGAAGAAAGAGAAAAATTAAACAGCCCTGTATCAAGCAAAACATTAAATTCATAAATTTAAAACTTCCAACCACAAAAAACTCCAAGCCCAGATGGCTTCATGGGTGAATTCTAACAAACGTTTAAGAAAGAAATAATAACAATCATCCCATACAAACTCAGGAAAGAGAAGAGGGAATGCTTCCCAAATCATTTTATGAATCTAGTATTATTCTGGTATCAAAACCAGACGACTCAATAAGAAAATAAAAGACCAATAGCCTCTGTCAGTATAGATATAAAAAGCACTTAACAAATTAGTAAATTGTACTTAGCAATATATGCAACGAATACATCATGATCAAGTGATGTTTATGCCAGGAATAAAACTGTTTAAAATTTAAAAATTCATCAAGGTAATTTACATACTAACAGACTAAAAACAAGCAAACACCTCACAATGACTGCACTAGATGCTCAGAAGGCTTCTGACAAAATCTAACATCCATTCTTAGTAAAAATTTCTCAGCAAAATAACAACAGGACAGAATTTCCTCACCCTAATAAATGGCACAAAAACTCTACAGCTAACATTATAAATATCAGTGAAAGACTGATTAATAACAATGCAAGGATATCTGTTTTTAACACTACAATCAACATTGTAATAGGAGTTTCAAGCAAGGGTATTATGGCAGGAAATACAAACTTAAGGCATGTAGATTGGAAAGGAAGAAGTAAAACTGTCATTATTCACAAACATCATGATCATCTATACAGAAAATCCTCAGAAATCTACAAGGTCCTAGAACAACAGGTGAGTTCAGCAAGGTATACTATACATTCACACAATATCAATATACAAATATTAATAAATTTCTGTGTTTGTTCATAGCAATTAACAACTGGAAAATGAATTTTTTTTAATTATGTTTATAATAGTACCAAGTAACATTAAAATGCTTGGGAATAAATTTTTAAAAAGACATTAACAAAATCATTACACTAAAAACTACAAAATACTACTGCAATTAATTGATGAACTTAATGAGATATGGAGCCCTGGTGGCGCACTAGTTAAGAGCTATGGCTGCTAACCAAGAGGTCGGCAGTTTGAATCCACCAGCTGCTCCCTGGAAACCCTATGGGGCAGTTCTACTCTGTCCAATAGGGTTGCTATGAGTCAGAATCAACTCGATGGCAACCGGTTTGTTTTTTTTCTTGGTAATTAGATATACCATACTCATGGATTAAGAGACTCAATATTGTTTTTTTAAAAAAATATATACATATTTTATTGTACTTTAGATGAAGGTTTACAGAACTAATAGTTTCTCATTAAAACAGTACACATATTGTTTTATGACAATCGTTAACCCCACAACATGTCAACACTGTCCCTTCTCAACCCTGGGTTCCCTATT